GGGGTGGGAGGTAAGGGCTGAAAACACCATTTGAACAGGAAACAAATTTAAAATCCAATAGACCACAATTTACCGTAGCTGTTTTGGGAACAGTGGTGCAGTAAGGAGGTGGGTGCAGAAGGGGGGGGGGGGCTTTTTTTTTCTTTATATGGATGGGCGGCATCTTCAGCCATCTGCGGGGTAATTTATTTTTTTTGTCTGTCATGGTAAGTGTGGGGGTGGGAAGGATTGGGGGGGAGGGGGGAGGAGTCCTCACATTATAGATAAAATATTTTCATCCAAACAACATAGGGGAGATTTCTTTTTTTTTTCTTTTTTTTTTTAAATTTTATTTTGTGCTTTGAGATTCCAAGTGAACTGAACCGTCCCCTTAACAAAGAGAATTCCTTGTCGTCATGCTCTCTCACAGGGTAAAATCGTCGACGTCACCGCCACTGGGACTCGATGCATCCTGCCCCTGATTGAAGGGGTGGGCGAGGTCAGACTGCGTTATCCGATCCACCCCATCCACGGCGAGGGCAGCCCAGTCTGGAAGGAGGTCAACGCCATTCGCGACTACCTTCTGATGCCGTGAGCCACGGGCATGGTGGCCGGATGGCAGGACGTCAATTGTGTATTTTGTGATACTAAAAATAAAGTCTCTGTAGCTTTATATTTAACTGAGCGTCATTGCTTGCATCAAAACAAGACAAAGGCTTATTTACATGGCACTGAGTCTTTAAAATAAGATCTGAATCAAAACAATCCATAGGCTTGTTGAATGGCACCACGTCTATAGAACCAATAGTTTGATAACTAACCATCACAGAATACAATTTTTTGCACGTTCATCTCTGTACCGGTATCATAGCGGCAAAATATGCCAACCCATCATGGCTGCACAATATGGCTACCCATCATTGTGGCACAATTTGCCTACCCATCATAGCTACATAATATGCATGCCCATCATTTCACACAATAGGCCTGCCCATCATAGTTGCACACTCTGCCTGCCCAGCAAAGCTTCCCACTGTGCCTCTCATCATTGTTGCACAATACGCCTACCCATCCGAGCTGCACAATAAGCCTACCCATCATAGCTGCACAATATGCCTACCCATCTTTGTTGCACATTATGCCTGCCCATCATTGCTGTTAAATATGCCTACCCATCATAGCTAGTGTTCCTACCCGTCATAGCTGCACAATATGTCTACCTATCATTGCTATACAATATGCCTACCCCTCATAGCTAGTGTTCCTAGCCATCGCAGTTGCACATCATGCCAACCTATCATTGCAACACATCAAAACAGTTTATCACGACTGACAGTTACCATCATAAAATAACTCAATGTATACTCTCTTTATATCGCTTTTTCCCCTTTTCTCTCAATCTTTCTTATCTTTCTCATTCTCTCTCTCTCTCTCTCTCTCTTTCTCTCAAGAAAATATTTGAATGGTTTTCAGATGGGAATAGTTTTATTTCAAACTAAGCGCACAATTAAATGTACAGTTGACAAAACATGTGTGCATATTCACATACAAGCCACCAGTAGTCATAGAGATGTTTATATTTGTACACAAACAAAGCAAAGTTCATTTCACCATGGACATTGTATGACTATGATTATTTTATCACAAAAGAATGAAGACTTCAAGACAGGGAGCAGATTACACTGGTAATATCCTCTATACAAATTATCCTACAATATGACATGGCCGAAACTGTCTGTTGCCAATAAAAAAACATTAAGAGAAAACAATGAAGCACAGCAAATCACTTGACACTGCACATGAGTGATTTAAAGACTCAATCACTTGACACGGCACATGAGTGATTTAAACGCTCACAGAAAATCACTTATATGGCACATGAGTGATCTAAACACACACAACTATTTATTTTTCTCGTATGGGATGCAGAGTTTCACACGATATAACATCAATGTAGTGTAGGTTACATGAAAAACAAAGCATACAGAAAAAACTAAGAAAAGCCTTTACCATGCAGTCTTTTAATCATGCTACATTTCATCCCTGATTAACTTGCAAGGCATTGCCAGGTCCAATTGGGAGGGATGCAGTTAGGATACCATGAAAACATTCCCCTCACAAATATACAGCCAGTTATGACTGTATCCGCATACATAACCTGCTTTTTAGCAAACGCTCACCATCGGGACTCGCTCACCATCAGGACTCGTGAGAATATGACACAAAGGATTTCAATAGTTTATTCTATCACAAATAAATATTCAAAACCACAGCAGACTTGTGACGCAAAGGGTCACATCAAGTTATCATCATCAGAAAAGCATGGACAAAATAAGTTGAAAGTTAAATAAATTGTCTGTTTTTTTAGATTCAACAAACTTCCTGACCCTGCTGAAATAACTAACTCCCTGATCCTGCTGAAATAACTAACTCCCTGAACCTGCTGAAATAACTAACTCCCTGAACCTGCTGAAATAACTAACTCCCTGATCCTGCTGAAATAACTAACTCCCTGAACCTGCTGAAATAACTAACTCCCTGAACCTGCTGAAATAACTAACTCCCTGATCCTGCTGAAATAACTAACTCCCTGAACCTGCTGAAATAACTAACTCCCTGAACCTGCTGAAATAACTAACTCCCTGAACCTACTGAACTAAACTAACTTCCTGAACCTGTTCAACTTGTAAATTGGGTTTGATCATCTGGCAGCTGTCCAGCCTTCCTTTAACATCTCCAGCACAGTGGAATCTAAGTTCGATCAGGATGAGTTTTAAACATACCCCTTAAAAACTTGTCACAGAATGCATGAGGAAACCAGGCTGACAATTCTTGCATGTCTGTTCAGTCAAGATTTGAGCAACAATTACCAGCATTAGTTTTGAGAATAGATCTCATTCCTGTCGAATCCGTCTCCCAGAGATTAAAAAGAGTTCCTGCCAGGCTAGATGGAATTGACCTGGCGGCAATGCAGTTAATCTGCGACAGTTGGTCAGGTCGGACTAAAATAAAACGGGTCAACCAGCAATTAGTGAAGACGGCAGCCATTTTGGTATGTATAACAAAGGGTAGCCAAGAGAGAAAAAATATATCAATAATGTAGTGTAAGCAAAAAAAATAACTGCTTTGTTGTTTTTTTATTTCTCTTTGAATCAATAGATCTTAGGTCTTAACAAGTGTCCATTATAACAACACAAGTCCATTATAACAACACGTGTCCATTATAACAACACGTGTCCGTTATAACAACACGTGTCCGTTATAACAACACGTGTCCATTATAACAACACGTGTCCATTATAACAACACGTGTCCATTATAACAACAATGGACAACACGTGTCCATTATAACAACACGTGTCCATTATAACAACACGTGTCCATTATAACAACACATGTCCATTTTAACAACATGTGTCCATTATAACAACACATGTCTCTTAAAACAACTCGTGTCCATTAAAACAACACGTGTGCATTATAACAACATGTGTCCATTATAACAACACATGTCCATTATAACAGAGGGCAAAACACTAACATCAAGTGTAACAATTGTGTTAATGATCAAACTTGTGTCCTGTGACAAAGGGTGACATCTGGCAATGTCAAGGTTAGAAATCACAACTTTGAAACTTCAATTTGTTCGGTGCATCTAATTCTCCAAACATTATCTCACACACCGTTCATGTTTAAATAGAATGACATGACGAAACATTCATCCAGCTATGCACGCTATTTATTTACATGACCGACTTCCCATTGAAACATGGCTAATTTCATATCAAACATTTACCTCCACTGTATGTCAGGGTGCAGGAATTAATTTCACTGACTTCAAATCCAATTAAAATAACTAAACAAAATAGCAGGACTGACTATCAATGTAATTGCTTCAAACATTAGTAAAAATTATTATCACATTGTTTTTTTTTAATAAAAATTTGCAATTTAGTTGATTGCTAAAGTGTGTTCCACCACTCCTCCCACAAAAAGTTCTAAATTCATTAGAATGAAATTGAATTTTTGTTTCTGATTAATTTTTTTCTCAACAAATAATCCGCCACAAGCTGCCATAATGAACAAATGAAATAGTTTAATTCAATTTTATTTTTACATTCAGTTTAGATTAATTCCTACAGCAATGTCTTTTACCTTGAATGCAGTTTTACGGCTCAATATTTATTTCAAATCATTAGCCTGATAAAAAATCATTAAGCAATGAGTAGTCGTAAAGAGAAATCGAAGAAATCTATCAAAGAAAAGAATTATCATGCTATCAAGAGAACACTTATCAAGCACACCTGAAAAAACAAACAGATCACCGCAAATAAACAATGTCGTGCACAAATGCATTATCTCAATATGAAACACTGACAACTCTATTGCAACGTAAGAATTTAAAGTCAAACTCAATGTGAAAGACAAGGGTTTTTCTTGCTTTGTTTCTAAATGAAGCGGATATCAAGTGATGTGTACACGAAAGGCAGGTAGCAAAAAGTAATGTAAGGTAGCAAAAGTAATGTACAAAGCATTTTAACTCAGTGGAACTGAAATTTGTGTCATTAAAGAAAAGAAACATTTCATTGTGGTATGGGGGGAAATAATGTCAATGAAGATATCAAGGAGACGTTTCGGGCACAGCAAGGTCCCGTTTGAAATGAAGAAAAACTATTTTTTTACAATTATAGTGGGGTCGGTCGGTTTGAACTAAAATATTTATACATTTGTTGTTATATAATAGAAAGCTCTTAACCAAGACCTGGAGATTAAGAAGTGGAATATTTTAGTTTTTGCCTAGTGTTACATATACAACACTGGAAATTTGTAAGTGATGATTATTTTGTTATCCAGTAACTTGGGTAAATACTCACTTACTAGTATACAATTAAGAATCTATTTTAGGTATATCATTATGTCAATTGTATACATGTCATCGTGTCTATGGTAGACGTGTCATTGCGTCTACTCTGAGATCAAATGCCAGGAATTATGAAACAATAATAAAGTAACTAATGGTATTGCATTAATCCCCCCCTGATTCCAGTCATTAAAACAAAGAGTAACAGGCATCAAAATAAATTTCTTAAAAAGTCCCAACAAAACAAGACTAATACTAGCTTTCAGCGTAAAACCAAATGACCTTTTCCAGGTGCAACCAACAAGTGAATCACGATAACTTTGTTTTCAAGGAATGAGGCCGGTGATGGCATAACTTACGGAATGAACATGGAATGATTATCGAGTTAATCTACAGCTTGGCTCATGATTCCAATCCAATCTTGGGTGGTTGGACCAAGTGAAAAAATGTATGAAAAACAACCCACTCGAAAAACCAAACACACAAAATTTATAGGTATCTAAAAACACTTATTTGAGACGATATTGGGCATATGAGGGCATATGAATGCCATGGCATTAAAACAACAATGACAAACTATAACTGAAAGTGAACTATGCACATACAAATCTATTTTAAACAGGGACCACTGAAGTTGGGGGATCAATTTTAATGGGGATGAAATATGGCCATTTCTTTTCAGGAATACCAGTTAATAGTTGTACGTCTTCTTGTTGGTTGTCCACAGATTTCACAATAATTTTTTTTTTAAACCACGTTTAGATATGGGCAGCATAGAAGCTAGGACTTCTTAAAATAACTTTAAAGTTTTTTTTCTCTTCCGTGGAACAATGAAAAAATAAATTAATCAAGCTTAAAAAATTGAAATTTTATAGAATTAAATTATAAACAAAAATTCAAATCTTTGTTCTTTTCCAATACAAATATATTTCAATTTAGTTTCCAAAATTTGTTAGGATCAAAATATAAGATTGAAATCTCATTTTGTTATTTAACAATCATGCGATTCAAACTTGTGAAAATTGGTGACCAACCAAAAAAACAGAATGCGATTAACATCAATCAGTTCTATAATGGGCAAACTTGAACACAACTGATCAACAGTGTGTTTGCCCTGATCAATATTCTGGATGATCTCATCAACGCATGGTTGCTGGCTGAGTACAGTTAAGCTTCACATTTATACAGGCCCAGGTAAACCATATTTCTACATAAAATCTAGTGTTTATAGAACTAGAAATTATTGTCAAGACAGCTGATTGGGAAGTTACTTGTCAACAAAAATGTTTAACTTCAAGTGTACATGACAAATGCTGATTAATCACGTCCAACAAGTCTCATTATGACCAAGTTGATCAAAACTTTTAGGGATGCGTTCAGTCATGTCGTTCAGTCATGTCCTCGTGATTGTTAAACTTTTTCTGGCCATTTATAGTTGCAGTTTTTCCCATATGTACAGCCAAATTTTAACATCTGCAAATGTCAGATGTTTGAAACATTATCTCTCTATAATGTCAACTCTTTGTCATGTCAGCTCTTCGTAAAGGCAGCCCTTTGTGTCATGTCAGCTCTTTGTGTCATGTCAGTTGTAATGTCAAGCTGCAAAAGAGTTAGCCCAAAAATGTCAACGCATGGAAACATGATAAAATAAAGAGATATCACATCTCACATGTTCCCACTGTCACCAAAGAAGGAACAAGACGCGGGATGGCTGACTAAAATAATTAGTCATGTGTCAGAACATAAGGAAACAATACTAAACAGAAACTGGCATATTCAGTACTGAATAAATAATCACAGGGACTGGTGTGAAGTTTTTTTTTTTCCTTTCAAAATTTCAACAGAAGCCATGCTGACCTTGGATCAGCCAGGACAATGACCTTTCATCATGATTAAAAAAAATTACCAATGTCCATTTATTTCACATTACCAATGTCCTTTTATTTCACATAACCAATGTCCTTTCATTTCACATTACCAATGTCCATTTATTTCACATTTACCAATGTCCATTTATTTCACATTATCAATCACCAATGTCCATTTATTTCACATTATCAATCACCAATGTCCATTTATTTCACACTATCAATCACCAATGTCCATTTATTTCACATTTACCAATGTCCAGTTATTTCACAAAAGAGCAAATAACAACTAAAGAGGCACACTGACACAGATGGCACTTCACTAGGCAAGCCAAAAGCTCACAGATAAATGGTAACCTTGTCCTCCTATCAGAGACAATATCATATTTTAATGTTGTCAAAAGACGACCCACAGACCCAAAAAAACCTGGTGATCCAATCTCCATAGACCAACGGCAAACAAAACCGCGGGGTGATCAAATCTTATCAGTTGATCCTTTCATGGATAAAGTCTTCACAGAATAAAATGGCACAGGGGGCCTGATATTGCCCAATTAGCTCCTGGGGTAGCCCGGTTTTAAAATGTTTTAGGAAATAGTTATACTAATTGCCTACAAAATCCTGGACACAAAATGTCTGTTCTGGAAGCTGTCCTAGTAGAAACATCACAGCTGAATTGAGTCCACTGGGATTTAAAACATCAGTTAGGGTAACGACAGGTCTGCCTGCCTAGTGACATGTCTGCCAGTCTCGTGTTATCTGAAGCTCAGCTGTTGTTGTAACTGTTGGGAGTGCGAGTGACATGTCCACTGGAGGCTGAGATCGTCAAGAGGTAATATTGGCAGCTCAACCTGCCAAAAGGAAAATGAGAAATGTTACACAATGTTAAATATTGGGGAATGGAATATGAATAACTTAAAATGGTCGATAAACTGACTGAAGTGAATAAATTTTTATGCATACTCCAAGGAGTAATGTCTTTTCTTCATAAGTTGGAGTTTTAGTACTGGTGCATACAGGGGGAGTCTGGTGGTGTCTCAAATAATGCAATGGTTAGCAAAAATATATTGCTGTTAAGACATTGAGCTAATCTGAATAAAGATATGTTATTTCATTTCATACGAGTCTCACCAATTGTTTATGCCGGCCGAATGTGATTTACATTTCAGTTTTAAATAAAAATTATTAGACTCTGGTGGTTATTTTTTGTGTATGACTCATTACAAACAGGTACTCATTGCTTTTTTTTTTTCCCTCGGGGCAACAATGTACACAAATATCATACATCAACAAACATCACACATCAACAAACATCACACATCAACAAACATCACACATCAACAAACATTACACATCAGACTGTAAAGGGTATTTGACATCCTGGGAAATTACCTGGAATGTTTCCCCCCACACTGCAGTGAGGGCCGCCTTAAACCTGTCCAGATCTTGTGGAGATGTGAAATAAAAGACCCACTGGACACTGGAGACGCCAGGTTCTTGGGACTCAAATTCCTGGAATGCATAAGAGTAGAAGAGCCATTCAAAAGTGTGTAAGGTTCATGGAGAGTAAGGGCAAGAACTACTGTTAATAATTAGAGCTTACTGCAACTCATGTTTATATCTATATTTAGTTTGTGATGTGATAGCACATCAACATTTCACTTCACTTAACAAATTAAAAAAAAAATTAAAATCAAGGGGGACAATGCACCGATTGTTTAATCAGGCGAGGGGGGGGGACGACGGACAATGCACTAATTGTTTAATCAATGAAGTATAAATCATAGTTTACTTAATTTGGAAGTGATGTAAGATTTGTTATCATAAATTTAATGGTAAAAATATCTTTGAGATGATTGGGTTTATTAAAAAGTATAAAACTGAACCTTACAATGACACAGTAGGTGGAATCTTCGGCAGACAGCCTGAGACTTGTGATGTCCTCAACTTGGGCCCGGCCAAGGGTGCGGAAAAATTTGGTCTGCAGATCTTCATGGCACATGAACAGCCGGCTGCAGGACAGGACAGAACAGCACGGCACGCAAGTCCTCAGTGAACTGCTGTCCTAAATTCAATGTAAGGCCAGGACTTTAAACACCAATAATGAATGTGACCTTACAAGCTATAGCTGTTTGAACACGTATAAGCTTATAAATTTGTGGGGTCACATTGTTTAAACAATATGTGACCATTATAAATTTGTGGGGTCATATTGTTTAAACAATGTGTGACTATTATAAATTTTTGGGTCACACTGTTCTAACAATATATAACAATTATAAATTTGTGGGGTCGCACTTAAACAATACTTAAAAATCTAATATCCAAATGTGTTTAAAAGGGATTTGTATGCAAAAAAAGGTAAAATGTATTGACCTACAGTAAATAAAGTATTTTCCTTATTTTGTTGAAGACATTTCAATCCTTATTATGTTAAAGAATTCAGTGTATACCTATTTTGTTAAAGAAGTCAGTATATCCCTATTTTTGTTAAAAGAATTAAGGTAAAATTGTCAGAGCATATTTATTGTGAGTGCGTTAGGGTGTTGAGTTGGTGTTGAGTTGGTGTTGGGTTGGTGTTAACAATCAACATTTCAGAGCCGGGTGAGTACCTCCATGCCCTGCGAGACAGCGAGACACAGTGCGTGCCCCCATTCCATGATCTCAGTCTCTGAAGCCGCCGACAGGAACCAGCTCCCTCCGTTGGCTGTGACGAGCTCAACACAGTTGTTCCGGTCCTGTAACGAGATGTGACGACATCCGACGCACTGGTCGCCCCCGAGGCCCAGGTACGAGTGGGGGCGGGGGTCAGACTTGTTGTTTGACACGGTCAGCATTGAATTTCTGAAAATGTTTAGAAGAATGTTTTTTGTTTTTTTTACCAAGTCTTGAAAATTAAATTCAGTTAATATTTAAAATAATGGACATCTTAGCATGACACTAGGACTTAAATAAATATCTTTTTAAAATTGTTATAATGTTTTTTATTTCCATGAAACTTGACATGAAAAAAGCAAAATTGGACTGGATACCACCCCACCCATCCTCACTGTTATCCCCACACCCCACCTCCAGTGGCAAACATTATCATCATCTGTGGCGCAACAGCCTGTGTAGAGCCCCGGCCTGCTTCAACACATCCTTCCATTCGGACGGATCATAGCTTTCCATCTCCATGCGCGGACCCCCGGCTAATAACAAATCCCCAAAGAAGGGGAGTTAAATCCGACCCCAATCATCTTAACGTGTCATATTAACTTCATGAAATTTTCTTACTATTGCCGTTGGCACATGCCCATCAAATGCTGGTAATACAGGTACCATGCCGAGGGATCATATGCCATCAAGAATTTTGTGCTGCAGCAGTAATTTGTAAGTTTTCCACATGTGTGGCAGTGGACGACCCCAACCTTCAATGTTACATCTTCAGTCCACCTCAGACTTGGTTGACAAGTGAGCCGCCTGCCCCTAGTTTTATGCCTGTAGATCACTTTTGCTGCTCTACAATCTTGCATCCTCTCAAGTTGTTCCGTCCAGCACAATCTGCCTGGGTGGGTCTTCAAACAATTGATATATCTTGTGTTTTGTACGAATCCGCCATCCATCATTGTCTAACACTGGACCTGTGGCAAATGCCTGAACTGATATCCATGTCATTTATGGCCATACACAACCAATCGTAAAAACAGATCAACCCACCACCACACCTTGCAGTAAGAGATGATGAAACAATGGATATCCCTTCTTACTTGATCACCACATAGACAGGTTTCCACACAAAACCTTTGATGGGGTCTTGTGTCCGTAGGAGTAGCTTCCCTGCCTTGTGAGAGCCATCTGCTTGATGGCTGGGGGAGCTAGATGGATCTTCCCAAAACACAAGAGAATAGTCATTGATGCTCACATCAGTGGTCTGGAGAAAGATATAGAAGCAAACAATTATTCATCTTACATAGCACTTGTGGATGGAAAGAGATGAATTTATTTATATAGAAACACAGCTCCACCTACTGGTTGCCATCACTTTCTGTCTGCCCATCTAAATGTACATTTTACAACAATCAAAACTTTCTATATTTGGAAGTGATTGAGATATATTTATCATTTTAAATGTTACCATTGATTGGGGGGGGGGGGGGGGTTTTTTAAAAAAGGTTTTTAAAGCATGACTAACAGTTTGCTAGTTCTGCAATACAACTTGCTTACTTCACAGTGAAGCTCCTTAGAGATGTATTTCCTCAGGGCAATTTTCTGCAAAGGGACCTCACTCCCAACACTAAACCTTGATCTTACAGAGGTGAAGTTTTCATTTGCTTTTCTTACAGCCTCAGTCAGACATGTCAGGATGGCTCTAAAAAAAACACAGAATGCTAACTTAGTGGAAGATGCAAAAAAACACACACTTCTTAAAAAAACCAAAAACTTTGTAATATTATAACAAAAAAGTAATATTGAATAACAGCCCTATTTATAATTAAAAATGTTAATATATTTGAACATTCCTTTTTGGCTGTACACAACTCGGATAATTGCACAGTTAAAGCCCTTAACAAAATATTCAACATTTTACTGCACTGCCCATTAATCTCTAACAAATAATCAAGGAATGTACACAAAATCTCAAAGCAGAGATTCAAATATTGTCTGGCCCATCATTTTATCATACAGCCCAGAAACAATATAAATTCTTAGAATTGGGTTTAAACACAAATTAACCTGGAAGACTTTCTTCTTACTTTGTCAGGGCCTGGTGGCCAGGTGTGATGAAGAGCCGCTGCTTCTGCTTGTTTTTCCCACGACTTTCTATATTCATTGTCTGGTCATTGAGGCCCGTCTGAGAAAGAAATGGACATAATCAGCATGAAACTTGAAGAATAACCAAAGCAATAATTTGTTGATAAAAATGGTATATTAATAGCCAAACAAAATTTAACAATAACAATGAAATCTTAAAATAATAAATATTTGGCCAAAAAAATTTTTTAAAATAAAAATTCACTCATTAACTCCCCGGTCTTATTTCTATGGTTTTACCAAGCACTGTCATACATAGCAAAAAACAAGACCACTTTTAAACTTAAATCTAAATCCTGGGATTATTATAAGAGATAGACCCCAAGTATTGTATATCAATGGAAAAGAAATTGAATTTACTTGTCTGTTGATGTAAATTTGGACTATTAAAAAAAAAGAATTTCCTTGACAGCAGACCAAAAAATGTATTGAAATAATAATTCCCAAATGTCAAAGTACTAGATCTATATATTTATTTCAAATAAACAATATATCTTCAGATTTTCCTCAATTTTTATCGAAGAATATAATTACACAATTCAGTAAACCATATAGCTTCAGAAAAACAAATAATAAATTTTCATTAACTACCATCAGATCATTTTCTAATTATCTGAACCATAATATAAATGCTAGACCTGAAGTGTTATCCATCATTTGAAAGGGAATTGAATGTCGTCATTATACATTGTTTGGAATTGTAACAAGAATTTTGTTTATTAGTTAATTTTTAAAAAAAGGACAAATTGATAGTAAAAATTATTGAAAATCTGCACACCATCAGTTTATAATTTATCCCTTTAAAAAAAAGATCACTCCTAACATTATTAGACTGATACAAAAATTAATCTAATGAACAATAAAACATCCAAAGGTTTTCAAAATTAGTGGAAATAAAGAAATAGCACGCTTTGTAGTAAAACACACCATGGTATAAAAATCAGAGCAGCAAAGTTACAATAAAAACATAACCTAATCACATTGCCATTGCCCTGAGCGTAATTTTCCCGACACCAGTTAAGAATAGGGATAGAATAGGGATCAACGTTAGGATGAGAGGCTGTAGGTGAATCTTAGTAATATCTAAAGGTGTGTTTTGGTTAGAGTGAGGAAGAGTTGCTCAACTCATCAGCCTCACTCTCTGAGTCTTTTTGATCCAATGAATCAGGATTTCGATAAACTTCCATAGTCTTAGTAGAAAAAAAAAAAAAACTAGAATCATTCCAGTAGAGGCTCTGCTTTTTTCTGACTGTCATGTTGACAACAGAGTATATTCAGTATTGACTGAAATCACATTTGATTCACCATCTTCATGGACTATTACAGACACATTTGAGTAGTAGTCTTTTGGGCAGAATTTGTGTGTTCTTTTACAGTTATTTGAAATGGCTCAAAATTTCATAATCCTGTCCGGTTGCACACTTGAAATTTCCAAACACTGAGTCGTGATTTCTTTAGTTGTCAAGGTTTTATTTGCACACAGATAATAAAATCCAGTGAGGTGTCATCTGTCATGAGGATAAGACAATCAATACTTTGAGTTTGTGTAGTGTGATGTGGATATGGCTTTACAGACAATCTATACTTTGAGTTTGTGTAGTGTGATGTTGATATGGCTTAACAGACAATCTTTACGTTTAGTTTGTGTTCTGTAGTGTAGACTTGGATAAACATTGTGACTTTCTGAGTTCAACAATTATCTGCTGTTCTGTCCACTTCTCACCACTCCCTTTAGATAACTGAGGCTTGTCGTCCACACAGACTCGTAAAGTTTCAGTTGTTGGCAAGCGGATGACATCGGTACTGTTACAAGCATCAGTGAACAGCTCAGGTTCGTTAGTTTTAGCAAAACTGTATGAACCATCCTCTGGCTCTTGGTGTAAATGTATTCCAACTTTAGTTCAGGCCAATGACCTCCTTCCCCCCTCCACTGATGATACATCTGTCACACCAACTTTCAACATGTGGTTGTCGACATCTCTCTTACTCAGACGTCTGAGATGTAAAACAACTTATTATTTTTTCTATCATATTGCAGTGTTTGAATATTTCTCTAGAGCTTCACTAGCAGTAAGTCTAAAACGGGGGCATATTCTTGGTTCGCTTGGCTCAAATTGAGAAATCAGAAAATAGGCACTCGGAAATTCAATCAAAGTAAACCAAATCAGCCTGTAAACATGTAACAGCTTATTGAATCATGCAGCAAAATGGCTCAAACAACATGGTAAGGTGACACCTAACCTTTAAACTACTGGTACTTCCATTTTTTTAAATTTTTTTTTTACAAAATTATTGTTAAATCGTGAGCTGGTACGATCAGCTTATGGACAGAAGCAGAATATCTGCAAGTCTGTACAGTCGGCTCACCTGAGTCAAAGAGTTAACTCAAAACTTTTACTTCAATTAGAAAATTTATTAAAATGGATTGCAAAAAGAAGATACTTATGTCAAAATAGCGATAGATAAATCTGTAAATCTTAAAGTAGGCTTAAAATGAAAAGATGGGACAATTAAAAGGATTTTTCGGCTAAAATGCTTGAAGACAGAACAAAACCAGAAACGGCAAATAATTAGAAAATCAAATGTGTGAGTTTGGAGATCTCAATGAGGTTCTTTGCTTAGCAATGGAAGAGCTCTATCTTTAGACACTTACACTAATAAATATCAGATCCACCAACATGGCGCTAGAGTGGAGAACAAACTTTCGACTGGCTTCTCTGTACTTGAGCAGGTAGAGGCATTGATCTGATATAAGAATATAGACCACACTGGAATCCCCTTCAACCTGATTTTCCCTGGATGCATACATCTGAAAATAATTTTTTGTAAACCTCAAAAGTAATAATTTATTACAATGAAAAAATTATTCATGAACTGTTCAAAAGACTAAAGGGCAGTCTAAAAGTTATCCGTTTACTTGCATTTTGTCAAGATCAATAAAAAGGTTCTATTTGATCAAAACTTATTTTTAATTTTTTTTAAACGACTTTGGGATCTGGCAAGATCAGTGAAGACACTACATGATGCACCAGAATGTTTCAAGATTATTCAAATGATCATAGTTCATGTCAGCGTTTCCCAAACTTTATTTTTCGTGACACTGTTATTTTTTTTTAAACTTCTCCTTCATGACCCACTAACATTTTTATGGCCTTTACTGGCTTTCAGGTAACATGTAACAGATCTAAATTTCTGCACAGTTTTCATATATTATACTGTTTTAGGCATATCGCTGTTACGTCACAATAATCTACCCTGGATTTTCAAACGTTTTTTTTCCCTTCTTTCGCCGACCAGTAACTTTGCTTTCATGGCCCGGCATTTGGTAAACACTGCTTTACATTATTGTTTTGAAAGAAGACATATACATTTATTTGTTTATATCATCCACCTCACATAAAATTGTTTTTTGTTTCAGTCACATTGTCGTTTCTTTGTAACGTAGGGACAAGAGATTACAATACTTAATATCTACATAGCGCATTCGGTTTTAAAAAAAAAAATGTCCACATGACTTTTACCTCCTTAAAGGTTAAGATCGGTCAACGGGGCATCAAGTGCTAAGAATATTTTTAAAAAATGTTTAATAGTCAATACCTGGATAAATTTTTCATCTTCATGGGTCATGATGTCCAGCATAATTTGTAGCTTGGTGTTGTTGTCTAAGCTATAAGACCAAAAATTAAAAAACTTAAATAACACCGATGCTTTGGTTTTTTTGCAAATAAAGGAGCATCCATCAGATCATTGGCACAGCATAGAAATTCTTTACACACACAAAATATTTTTGAGAGTATACAATGGCAGCTAGAACAAAATCTCGTTCCAAAGGCATCCCATTACTTTTTTAAAGTTATAAAGTTAAGATGTTTGAAAATATATTAGTTTCCCTTACTCGACAGCCAAATCCACTTGTTCCTCGTATTTGTTGATTTTGTCACTAACTGTCATTCCTGGTGAAGAATCGGAACTTTGAAGGATGTAAGCCACATAATCCTGAAATATTCAAGTTATGTTATTGGACGATGCCATGGCTATTAATAATTTTTTTAAAGCATTATGCATTATGGCAGAAAATAAGGAAAGACAATTTAGTTCACGGTGAAGTTTGCTAATGGTAACCTCCAAAATTTGAAACCAAACAAATTGTTCACATTAAGTAACATAGTGGTTAAAACGCACAAGCCCCAGCTGAGCGGATATTAAAAAAAAACAATTAAATCCTTATCCAAGTCTTTAATATTTCCACACAAAAAATGTCAAGCTGTTCAAGTTCAGTAAAATGACTCAACAATAAATAAAAACAAGGAAAGGTCACATCTAAAAAATCATTTGGAGCAATGCCAACAGTAACAGATTACCTTTAGCTGTGAGGCTGCCTGAGCATTGGCAGCCACTTCTGAGGACTCACTTCTGGTTTGAGTTTGATCCCTTGAATCCACATTCTCCTTGTTGGAGCCAGGGTTGGAATAAAAGTCCAATTCATCATCACGCTCCTGGGCAGATTGGCCACCCGCCACGTCACTGACCCTTTCATCATTCTGGACTGACCAGACTGAATTTCTCGGGTTGTGCTCAGCTTCAGGGCAGGACTTATTGACCTGTTTGTAGGATGTCACAGCTTTGTTTTTATCCTCGGAATTAACCAAAGATGTGTTGGACTTGTTTAAAGTGGATACCCCTGAGGTCTTAGATGTGCTTTGAACAGACATGTTGTCATCCCGATGACGTGGCAAGTCAGGACTTGACTTTTGTCCTGAATCTGGATTCACTCCGATGACCTCCACTTTTGAGCCAACCAAATGTTTGTCTTTTGTCACCTGAACATTCCTGTCATTCAGGTGAGCAGTTCTAATTTGGGTTGAAGCCTCGTGCCCTTTCTCCACATGACAGAGCTCAGCTATCTTACCCTCAATTTTCGCCAAGGATGACATGTGACCTTTCGTTTGTTGCCAGGACAATCTAGAAGTCTCATCTCTGGTGTGACTGGATGAATCCTCCGTGGGGGCACCGGAGGAGTTGACGTCGCCATTTTCACGGGCCCGGCGAACGTCGGTTGGTGTCTTTGGCTCAGTTTCTTCCGTCAACCCGCATATGTCTACCCCTGAATCAAACTGAGGAAAAGATGCGACGGTGATCTCTTTGCCACCATCAGGGTGCTCTGAATCTGCCACACTTTGGGGCCCCTGGCTTTCAGTGACATAACTTTGTGCATATTTCATTGTTTTATCAGCATTTTGAGAGCCGTTGTGTTCTTTGCCAACCACCTTTGAAGATTCAGTTTGATTTGAAGACAAATGTGATGTTGCCGAATCTCCCGATTTTGCTTCTCCCTGAGACTGCGATGAGCTCACTTTCTCAGCGGCACGCTTCTTGCTTGATGCATGTTTTTTCTTCTTCTGTTTGGTACTTCTATCCTTGGGCTTGGGTATGCGAATGACTTCAAGAGACTCACTCTCCCTATCCTCATCTCCAGCAGGAACAATGCTCTCCAAACGCTGGTGCCTGTCTGGGTCACCGACGGACCCCAGCGACGTCATCGACAAAGTGTCGCTTGGCGTTCCACTCCTGGGTTTTGAATGGACGTACACATCCGTGGGAGTGATGCTGCGCTGTCTGGTGGAGCTGCTGACGATGCCGTCGTTGGGATAGCCAGAATCTTCTGAGTATGTGCTGGCCCTCATGTGAAAGGCCTGGTCCGTCTGTGAGTGAGCATCCAAGCTGGTCATGCTGGCGCAGTCAGAATCACTCCGAAGTCCATTTCTGAAGTCTGGTGAGCTTGGGGCAAACTGTTTGGTTAGCAAGAAATATATTCATTTTGTGAAATTTAGTGCAATGACATCACCCTTTACGTTCAAAAGTATGTGAGTTTCAATTAAATAGAAAACAAATCTTGATTATTTTCAGTGCTTAATATGAACCATCAAATTCTGGCACACCCAAGAGTTTTGAGCACATTTATGTAAAATTGATGAGTTCGCCCAGGGAACCAAGTTTCAAAATCAAGTGTAAAAGTTAGACCAAAAAGTAAAATATGATTTTATCCTGCAAAAATATATAAATAATATTGCTTTTAAAGATGCTGTCATATTTAGTATTAAAAAAGAAAACGGTGCATGACATAAAGATTGCGAAATCTGTGACACAGATGACAGGTGTAGAAAATCTCATTAAGTTTTAATTAGTTACATCTGATGCTGATCTCATGCTGTCGGTCCTTAAAAAGCTGATACTGTTGATACGAGATGCAGGGGACCCTGTGTAGACATCTCCCTCCATCTCTGTGTCAGTCCGACTGCGAGGTGGGTAGGCATTTAGATCAAGATAGGGCAAGTCCTGGGAGATGTGATACAACAAAAAGTTGAATCATTGTTTGACATATAGAATTTATTTACATAGATTATTTAACTAAAATATCAAGAGCATTTTTCACAAATACCCCAAACGCAGCAACTTTTCCAAAATATATTTTCATCTCTACGTTAAAAACTTTGCCTTTACATCTTGTGGCACAATTGGCAATTTAGAAAGTAATAAATAACTATCATCATTATTATTATTTAATCACTTTAAATATTATTTTACCGTACAAACATGAATAACTTTACTATGCATAGAACTCTTTCATATCTGTTCCGAGAAAATTGTACACATGACTTCCTAGAAACATTGAATGAATGCTTACATAATTTAATGCAAATGTCACACAGTCAAGGCCAGAGGTCAAGGTTAGCAGCTGATTCATTCTCTGCAGAGAAAAGTATTTTTAAACCCCAAAGAAGATCATTATGAGTTAGAGAAAAAGATTCAGTCAACCAAAAATATTATCTCATGGTCTGTTATGAAGACTGGGTGAATAATAATGTTTAAAGATGTCATTACATTTTTAAAAATTATTTATATCAAAGGATATCGCAAAATATATAATGGCAATAATACAAAATTAAATACAAATAAATAAGAATAATCAAAGCTAAAAGTTGGGCCATAGGTGATAGCGATATTTAAAAATATATTTCATTGTATGAAATAAGGTATAATTAACTAAATACAAAAATAATAAATAAATTAAACGCTATTTAACCATTTAACCCATGCGCAGATAATTCCAATGTGCTTTAGATTAACAACACATAAGAGTCTTGTAGTTCAGATTTTACTAGGTTTATGAAAATAGTAGATTATTTATTGTTATAGGAGAAAATAATTATAGTCAGAAATGGGCCGTTTTTAAAATTAAAACATGGTAAATTATACATATACTACATAAATAAAGTTGTTGTATGCAGGAGTAAATTTGAGTAGATCAGGTAAATGGAGGACACAGTATAATATACTTTTTAATTGTTTGAGGAAAGAAAGGTCTTACATCACCATCAAGTAGCAGGGCATCCTTTGCATAATATTTCTTTAAAAGCTTGTCATTGTCTCCCAATAGTTTGATGTAGCTCTCCAGCAGGCCTTCATTGAGAGATGCATAGAGCCATGCACGTCCTGCAGATGAGACAAGATCTTGTCACTTTTTCTTTTAAACCAATGAAGATATATGAGATATACATTTTTAAAAGGGCTGAATACATCAAGCTTTATTTGAAAAGTTGATACAAAAAAATTATTAAATTAAACATTCAGCATTTTATATAATCTCTTCTCTCATTTTTCTATTTACATCTTTTAAGACATGCATACAAATCTGTGTAAAATTGTGTCTAAGATTCTGAGCGAATCAATGAATATTGTGTAAACAAGAATCTTGTTTAACATGGAATGGGTTTGGGTTATTAAGGAAGACGGCTCATTTTCCTAAATTTTGTTAATTTGAATCAACATCAGAATATTCCACTTTAAACACTACGCTCTCCCCATACTGGCTTTAAAATGTTCACACGGGAGGGGCTTAGCAAGAAATAAATAACAAATATATTTACATACCTCTACCCAAATCAGTAGTGACATTGACTAGTATCTCTATATCCCTGATCATGCCTTTGTGTGACAATTGTTTAACAACTCGCCAGTAGCCATGAGTCACTTCCTTCAATCTGAAGAGATGCAAAAAATTTCAAATATTGATGAAAAGATGTATCATTGTTAATTTATCTCTCAATTGTTTAATTTTAATAAATACATCTGATTTATTATTGTTATTCATTATAATAAATTTCAAGTGTTGCAACTTGAAGAATACATAGAATTTAATGCATGGAAATTTAAAAAATAATCTTTTTATTTTTGGAATAAAACTCTTACAAAAATGTAATGGTTGATTCCTTATCGGAAATAAAGTGAAAAATAATTTAACTTGCACATTAAAAATATTAATGAGGTAATCATTTACAGCGATAAAATATGAAATTTATATAACTAACCCATGAAGCATGGCATGGTCTAAGTTTTCGCACAGTTTATGACAGGGTCTGTCTCCATTTCCTAAAGTAACACCAAGTTCACTTGCCCCACTTCCAAGCACAGGGTCATTAGCTTGGTAGAAGAGCAATTCCTGAATCTGAGTTTCGTGTAGTGGAAAAAAATTAAGAACTTAGATTTTGAGACAACCTAGGTATTCTAACATTTTTTTAAAAAGACATGAAAGTTAGTTTTCAAATGAGGCTCCTCGTGAGTAGTTTCTAAGCACAGTTAATTATGCAGTGAAAGGAAAGTATTGCTAATGCTAACATATTTTTTTAAACAATAAGTTAACCCATAATATTAAATTTTCTCAACATTCAAATTAATCACAGGCATATATAATAGCCTAATATTCCTTAAATTGGGCTACATAATTTTCTGCAATAGTCAATAATAGACAAACATATAAATCAGTCTCTTTATTTTATCATAGTCATAGATTTAGTAAATTCCCTTATACGATAGGCTCCAATACTTATGATAATAATAATAAAGTTACATTTTTAAAGCTAAGACTTAAGAGTGGTATGCATGCATCACACCTCCTAAGTCATTCAACCAAAGAACTCTGCATGGAATTTATGACACAGGTAACATTTACCAAAAAGAATTCCAAAAATAACTGATGAGTTCTATGGCCCAATAGCCTCAATTTTATAACCCTTTATTACACTTACACATCATTATTATTTATTTTTAGACTAGGCCTACTCATTGATTTACTAATACTAATACTAATATAATTTACGAAGTGTCTACACGTCCGGCGCGCCGGACGTGTAGTGCGCAAGATACATGTCCGGCGACTTGTCACGTGACCGCCGGACATGGCCGGACGGCTAGTAGTTTTTATAATTCCAAACGAAGTACGATTTAGTACATCCTGTCTGGTCTAGTGGTAGAGTGGTTGCTTGACGATAGGAATGTTTGAGGATCTATACCGGGGATAGGGTCATTTTTTTTCTTCCCATTTTAATTAAAATATTTTGTATATATTTATATTATCATGTTCCTCAGCAACAGTAGTTTCATGAGAAGTTTTTAAATATTTTGTAGCAATTGAAATAATTTAAAATGAAATCTTTAACTTTTATTGGTTGCCACACTGGCCCCTAATTTATTTTATGGATTACTGGTACACAAAAAATAACAAACTAAACAAAAATGTTTACAAGCCACTTTCACTTAAGTTTCTTTTTCTATTATTTGCATTCAAGATACTCAGTACATTACTTGGTAGAGAAATAGATTTTAAAATTAACAATAGTTTTGAATTATTCGCAGTCACGTGACAAGGCTGACCGACACGATATCTCTCGCCACTTTGTTACGGCGGTCATGTGACTTGGTCGCCGGACACATAGTGCGGGAGATAGACGTCCGGCGCGCTACACTGCCTATAATTTAATACTAGAATTAATTGCTATTACTATATTTACAGTTTTAACTTTTATTTTGTTCCTAATCCTAAATCTTAAGTCTAAAACTAAGACTAAAGCTTTAACTTTAACATTAACTTTAATGATAATGATAGAACTGACTAAATTATATTTTAATTTATTTATATTTAGCCTACTATAAATAATAGTACTCCACTAATTAAGTTAACAGTTTTTGTCTAAACTATTTATCATTAAATTATATAATATCATAATTCTAATAATAATAATAAGAGGCAATTAAATAGGACATGTAACTTAATGTAAGGGCCTACATCATTTTGTTTTAATTTAATTTCATAATATCATAATAATAATAACAGTGAGTGACGTGACTCATACTCGTAACACTAACACTAAATGAGCGCACTAAGATTAAGAAACTACGATAATTTAATACCATGAAATCGAATCATTATACTTTAATTATCATAACTATATTAAATGATAACTAAATTATTAAGTAATTGTTAAGGTTGAGTGTCAAGACGAACCGATTTTATAGCCTTGGAAATGTTATCGATGATTTTGTCTTTCAGCCTCATTCGTTCTGCAGGTCGAGCCATCTCCTACTTAGAAAATAAAACTGCATATGCGTAAGCATATACGATGAGTAATTCCTGAACAGATGAAATGTGAACCCATTGTCAGAAATGAACGTTATTATTTTCAAGCGTTAAGTCATTAACAACTAAATATATATCCGTAATGTTCTATCATCACGGGTTATAGCAGCTGATCTAAACAATGTATTGCAGATGGCGCTGTTTCCATGCAAAAATACCGGATGTAAAAAGTGGGCGTGCACTGGAAATCTAAAAAAATATATCAGACAAATACACAAGAAAACAAAATAAGTACAAAAACCATCAACTCAATTTCACCGAAGACTGAGTCTAAACTTACACAGTATGCACTGGACAATATTTTTGTAATTTAAAAAAATTAAGCTATGTAATTCTAAAGACGATGTAATCACACAATGAGTGTGAGGGATGAGTTGCTCAAAATAAATGGATACCTAGTTGGAGGAAAAGATACACATTCATACTATCAGTACTATCAGTGCTGATCACCAAGTTAAGGAACGTACTGCTTTAAGTCTAGTGACTATGGATACCTACTGATGTCAGAGGTCGGCATGGTCGATTGGATCGCAACTGGAGATGGCGAGTAGCTACACGCGTCCTTGATTATGCTACCTTTCACTCACGAAAATCACACAGAACACACATAATAGCCCTATGGGGTGCATTAAATTATGCCGACGTTCTCCCCTGTGGCGTCACTAGGGGGGTGCGGGTGGTGCACGCGAAAGGCGGGTCATTATTTAGCGGCGTTCGCTACAGAAAAACAACACACAAAAAAACATAAAAAAACAACTAAACCCCATTTTTTTTGTATTGATGTTTGAAATTAACTTAAAAAATTGAAAATATATTTCACGACTCTGTTTTTTTTTTTAATAATAATAATAATTGCCATCTTTATAAATGTACAATATTTTCCCCAAAGTCTCAAGGGTTCTCCGCCCATGGCTTATATATAGATTGAACTGTCTAAATCTACTGAGAGCGCAATAATTGCTCTAGGACTTAATTTACACCACTGCTATAAATGATACTGTACGATCTGGTTTAAAAATGTGTCTGTGAGTATTCGTCCTGTGGTCTAGGGGGGGGGGGGATGTGGGTGGTTGGTGGGGTCCAGAAAAAAAAAAGGAGGTGGGGTGATTACCCCAGCCTCTCACCCCCCCTCCACCCCTTACTGTCTAATGCATGTGCACATTGATAAACTTATTGCATAAGTTCATCTAGTGAGTTGTGTTACTAAAGACGCCCGAACTTTAGAATTATAATCACTTAATAACGGTCTACGGAAAGAGGAAGCTAAAAAAGTCTGCACTGCACTTTTGGATAAATAAATAGTGCAAAGTGAAACTGAGTCAATCCACTTTAATATTGTTTGATCACGAGTCCATTTTTAATCGTTTTTTATTTAGTTGTTGGTTTGTTTTTTTATATATAAAGAAGCAAAATTTACCACGAACATTGTCAATATTATATTTTGATCACGGTTAAATATTATATATTTTTTAATAAACTGCTTTATTTTGTTTGTTATTGAATTGTCATAATACTACACAAGTACCACCCTCAAGCGCGTCAAGAGTCAAGGGTTCAGACCCCCCACCCCCTCCCCTCCAAGCTTACTAAACTAAAACATCTATATTATGAGAAGCTGACTTGCAAAAGGTGCTAAGTCAAACCAAACTCATTTTTCAGGCAAGTGATCTTTCTGTTACAACATAACTGGCAATGTCTTAGACATTATGTCACAAAATATGTCTTATACTGATGCTAATACTTTATTTTACATGTAAAAAAAAACTACAGGATTTGTTAGTAGCCTTTATTAGTATGTACATATTTAAAAGAAACCTTATAGCATCACCCTTCGAAACCTCTTTGCTTAATGACAACACAGGTCCATGAATGGGCTTCTCATGTTTATGTTTATATAACACAACATCATGTGGAAAGTACCTTCCGCTGTTCTCGTCTCAAAGTTATGTTGAGGACAAACTTATTTACACCTGACCAAAGCCGTTTGGGGGGGGGGGGGGGGTTGGCAAGCAAATATGCGCCCTGGGCGAAGTCTGAATTAAGGCATTATATTCATCCAAACTTTCAACCGAATTTTATTCTTTTAATACACATAATATTCTTAAAAGGTGTCTATTTTTATGTCTAAGAATTAGTCTATATTTAATTCTAAGTCTTAGCCTAAGTCAAAGGCTAAGGGGGGGGGGGGGGGGGGTTGGCAAGCAAATATGCGCCCTGGGCGAAGCCTGAATTAAGGCATCCTATTCGTCCAAACTTTCAACCGAATTTTATTCTTTTAATACACATAATTTTCATGAAAGGTGACGCTTTTGGTGTCCTTGAAATATCTATTATTTATTTGGAGCCATTAACATAATAAATGAGCCCTTGTTGTCACCAAGGTTTGAGATTATTCCCCCTTATTTTGTTCATTTCCCTACAAGTAATGTCTAACGAGAACCTAGTTTGCTAGAGTATACGAAAACGACCCACCTCAACTCACATTTCTCTTACTCCTTGGCGCACTTTAGCTCCTAAACTCTCTCTCCCGTAAGTTTTACCTGTATCGCACCAACACACGCGTGTAATGTTGTCCTCGTGTACTCACACCCCACCACCTCCTTTGCCACCCCCGCCACACTCACCCTATCGTGCCATACGAAAATAACTTGCTCAGCCGCAGGGCTTCTCTAATAGGGATACCGTGGGAGTCGCGTGAGTCTGTGCTGTCTCTTCTGTCCAAAAAAAAAAAAAACTTGTACTAGTCTTGTACATTCATTGCTCTGACACTAACGGCGCCTTACCGGAATCGAAAAACGACTTTCCTGGCAATAGGAGATCGTCTTAATTACTACTAAGTCTTACGCGAGGTGAGTTTATTTTGGGTCGTATGTCTGGAGTTGTGTGAGGTGCTGTGTGGATGCAGTGCAATGGGCGGGTAAGTCAAGGCTTTGTTATTGTGGAACATTCGGAGATTTCAGGCGGTCTGACTACACACATCTTCCAAGGCTGGATTTTTACGGAGGAATAAAAAAAAATAATTTAGAAATACTGTGCCATGTGGAATTAATCGAAGAGTCCAATACACAAAGTATACTTAAATATTTTTAAAATATATATATACATTAAAAATAAATATATACATTAAAAAGTACACTTTAAATTAGATACATGCTCTACAGCAGGCCTGTACAACATACGGCCCGCGGGCCGCGCATGTGGCCCGTCAGCACCCACTTGGCGGCCCGCGAAAATAACGAAATATTCTTTATTATTTTATTTTCTTAATAGCTTTCTCTCTTGTCTTATCATCTTTCGGCCCGCACAAGCCTTTCATTAAAATATTACGGCCCGCACAATTTTTTTTCATAAAGTATTACGGCCCTACTTACATTTTGAGTTGTGCAGCCCTGCTCTACAGATATCATACGGGATTATCTCTGTTTTGGATGAATGAAAGAGGGGTTAATTCTTTTCATCATCGTTAGACATTACTTGTTCCCCTCACTCATAGTATGTTTTCACTTACCCCTAAAATGTTTTTTCCTGGTTCCGCCACCCTTAAGGGGTGCCATGAAATACATAAGATGACTTGCACTTCACCGTACGAGCCCTCATTTTCATGTATCACCTATCAGCTGTGTTCACTACGACATAGTTAGTATGGCCCCAAAGACAATAGGACGTTCTTAGCACGTTTTGACATGTTCTTAGAATGTTCTTATCGTATTTTTACATGTTCTTAGTACGTTTTAACATGTTCTTAGAATTTTATTGGCATGTTTTAACATCTTCTTAGAACATTCTTAGAATGTTTTCGCTTTTTCTTAGCATGTTTAACATGTTCTTAGCATGTTTTAACAAGTTCTTAAAATGTTCTTAGAAAGTCCTTAGCACGTTCAGCATATTCTTATAATGTTCTAGACACATTTTAAAATGTTCTTAGAATGTTCTTGACATGTTTTAATATGTTCTTAGAATGTTTTAGTACGGCTCAACATGTTCTTCGAGTGTTTTAGCTTGTTCGTAGCATGTTTTTACATCTTCTAAGAATGTTGTTAGAAAAGCCCTTAGCACGTTTTAACATGTTCTTTGAATGTTCTTAGCACGTTTTAACATGTTCTTTGAATGTTCTTAGCACGTTTTAACATGTTCTTTGAATGTTCTTAGCACGTTTTAACATGTTCTTTGAATGCTCTTAGCATGTTTTAACATGTTCTTTGAATGCTCTTAGCACGTTTTAACATGTTCTTTGAATGCTCTTAGCACGTTTTAACATGTTCTTTGAATGCTCTTAGCTCGTTTTAACATGTTCTTTGAATGCTCTTAGCACGTTTTAACATGTTCTTTGAATGCTCTTAGCTCGTTTTAACATGTTCTTTGAATGTTCTTAGCACGTTTTAACATGTTCTTTGAATGCTCTTAGCACGCTTTAACATGTTTTTAGAATGTTCTTAGCATTTTTTTTCAAAAATGTTGCTATCACCCCGACACTATTGTTACCAATTCTTGTTGACAAAAATTTTCAAAGCATCAATCGCGCCAACCAAACATAGACCATCGAAGAAACAAGTTATGTGTGTGGGTATGTGTGTGTGAGAGTGTGGAGGGGGTGTATGTGTGTGTGTGTGTGTGGAGTGTATGTGTGCGTGTGTGTGTGTGTGTGTGTGGAGGGGGTGTGGGGGTGTTGTTTTTGTACTAGACCCTTATAAATAGCCGTAGGCACAGGTGGTAGATGGAGAAAAAAAAGGGTGGGGGGGGGAGGAGGAGGTGTTGCAGGCATTAAGAGATAAGGATCGCACACATTAACCAAGAATATGTTGACACCTCATGACGTTCGATAGAGTTGGAGCACTGCCGTCTGGTACAGTCCCGAAACCCCCGTGTGCTCACTCAGAAAGACAGAGAGCGTCTGGGGTTCAGATCGTGTACGGTGTGATCAGGATGACATTTTGGTTCAAGATTAAATTTTTATTTGGTTTTTAAAATGTAAATCACTAACACTGAATCTCTTTTGTTGAATTGAATCTCATGGAATATTCTCTGGGATGCTAGTTTTCACCTAAGTGCTTTTATTTTTTTTATTTTTTTTTTATTTTTTACTGTTTATGGAGGATTCTCACCGAAACGTTTGTTGTTTTGTTGCGTTCATTTTGTT